GATAACCGGTGGGGGAGTAATGACTAGCAGTCTATTTTATTCACTTTCTCCATTCTCATGGAGCTTTTGAGCTTGGCCCAAACTACAAGCTCTTTGCTTGCTCTCTTTAATTCATTAGCGGACCAATGGAGTGTGATCTACAACGGGAAAGTTCATATTTTTTATAGCTTTTAGGGGGTAATTGACTAAGGTACTTTAATTTCTCATTTAAAGATTAGATCTCTAGGGGGTAATTGTATAAGGCACTTCAACTTTCTCAGTTAAAAGTTATATATTTCCGCACAATTGTTTTACATTTTGCTTTTTAGGATTTGTCTTTTGAATGAGTTTATGATTCAATTAATTTTTATGGCAGCAAACTTCCATGATTTTGTTCTCTGTGCTATGTATATTAAAGACTACTTTTCAATGGGTTTTGTTTGATTTTGTTGGGTGTCATTTTGTTATTATTTCTCTGTAATTAGGACCTGTAAAAAAATTCACCCTCCTCGTTTGAGATAATAAAGATCGATTAGCAGGCCAACGGACTAGTAGAATCGTTTTCATCATGTAACCCAATTATGCTATACGGGTCAAAGGATTTTTTTTCTTTGACTATCCAAAAGAAAGAAAGCCAAGTATTGAGAATAGAAATTCTTTCCTATTTGATTCGTTTCCAAAAGAAAGAAAAGTTATTATTTAACTAAATCATTAGAAAGAATTATATCAAAAACATAACTACAATTAAGTCAATAGTTATCATGAAACTACAGTAAAATTGTAGCGCGTGCACTCTAAGTTCACCTCGGTGAATGAAATCCTACATAGCATCAAAGGATTCAAAACACAATAAAGAAAAACAACTTTAGGATTATACAAACTAATAAACAATCAAGGTTTCCTCCTTTCATGTGGGTACTTCTAATAATTCAATACGCTACAACCACTTAAAATTAACAAACGTTTTACTTAAGCATTTGGGGACAAAATTGTAGGAATGACAAAAAAAAAATCTAATCTGTAGAAAAGGGAAAGTTGAGAAGAAAGCATGCTTGCGGATTAATGAAAAAGAACTGCAAGAAAAGATCCTTCACTCGCCTCCTAAGATTCAATCGTTGCCCCTCTTTTCTTCTTTTCTTCTCTTTTTTTTCTTTTGTTTCGTGAGGCTTCAAATGGCAAAGAAAAAAAACGTTTAAAGGATATATGCTTGTTGAGGAAAGAGTTGTTAGTTAGAGATTTTGTAGGATATGAGGGATTTTGTTGTTGAGATTTCAAATTTAATTTTTGTGAAACATGGTATCATGGCAAAATTTTGGTTTTTCTTATCCACGTTCTCTTTCTTTTTCTTTTGAAAAAGAAAACGAAGATATCATAGGGAAACAGGTATAGATGGATTTAAACTTGTTTAAGGGCTTGATTGTATGAAAATTCTAGTATACTGGGCTATAAGGCAAATTGGGCCTTTGAAAAAAATAAAATTCAAAAGTAAGTTGGGCCTTGAATACTCTCACGCCTAAGTTCAAAAATCCATTATCGTTTAAAACCAAACTCTAGATGTCACATCTCACCGACCTTATAAAAGAAATTTCGTCCTCGAAATTTTATGCAAGCTTGAAAAGACTAGATGTTACCTATTACAAAGAGATGTGGATAATGTTGACAAATATTGCCCTCTCACTCCCACGTCGCTTCACCAGGTCCATGGTGTCCCCAAGATACTAAAACTAGTGGGATAGTCCTATTTTTGAGGATCTTCTATTGTCTATCCAAAATCTTCATTGGTCTCTCCTCATATGATAGGTTCCTCCCACTTTGAAGCTCTGCAATGTCTAGGGCGTGGGTCTCATCTCGCATATATCGTCGAAGCTGCGATACGTGAAATACATTATGACTCCCTGCAATGATGGAGGCAAAGCTAGCCAATAATCCACCTCTCCTACTCACTCCAATATCTCGAATGGACTGATGAAACGTAGACTAAGCTTCCCGTGGTTGCCAAATCTGATAGCTCATCTGGCTGGGGATATTCTCAAGAGGACATGCTCTCCAACCTGAAACTATAGAGGTCTCCTTTTAGTATCAGCCCAAATCTTCCGTCTATCCTGAGCCGACTTAAGGTGATCATGTATCGTCTTTATCTTCTCCACTGTCTGTACTATCATCTTAGGTCCTAGCAGATGTCGCTCTCCTAAGTCAATAGGTAGGAGATCTACATTTTCTCCCATATAAAGTCTCATAAGGCGCCATCTGGATGCTGGCATGGTAACTGTTATTATAATGAAACTCCACCAAGTATAAGTGGTCTTCCCAAGAGCCTTTAAAATTCAGCATGCATGCTCGCAACATGTCCTCTAGAATCTGTATAGTCCTCTCTAATTGTCCATCCGTGTGAGGGTGGTAAGTCGTGCTATAACTCAGTCTAATCCCAAGACACTGTTGTAAGCTCCTCCAAAAGTGTGATAAAAATATTGTGTCTCTATCAGACACAATGCTAACATGTACCACATGCAAGCGTACTATCTCCCTCATGTACAACTCTGCTAAACTCTCCGTCATCTGTCCAACTCAAAATGGTATGAAGTGAGCTGACTTAGTGAGTCAGTCTACTACTACCCATATGGCGTTGTTTCCCTTTTGGCTCCTCGGCAAGGCTGTGAAAAAATCCATCGTAACATGTACCCACTTCCATTCAGGAATAGGAAGAGGCTACAATAAACCTGCAGTCCTCTGATGCTCAGCCTTCACCTGCTGACATACTAAACATTTTGACACAAACCGAAATATCTCTATCTTCATTCCTGGCCACCAGTAATATTCCCTCGGGTCTCGATACATCTTTGTGCCCCTTGGATGAATAGAAAACAATGAACTGTGCGCCTCCTCCAACAACTCTCTCTTAACATCGCCCTTAGGCACACACAATCTACCACGAAATCAGAAGGATCCATCCTCATGTGTTTGTAGATCAGTTCTCTCCCTAGACTACTTGTTTCTTAAATTTTTGGTACTGAGCATTCTTGAACTGGGTAGCCTTGATTCAGTCTATCAGAGTGGATTGTAATTGTAGACTCATCAATTGTCTCCCTGCTCCAGGTAAAATAATCTCCATATTCATCCTCCAAGACTCAGCTAACAACTCCCGCTGCCTGGTAAGTCTCATCACCACAGGCTTCATGCTCAAATGATGTGGCACCACATTAACATGCCCTGAGTGATACTGCAAATCAAGATCATAATCCGTCATAAGTTCTAACCACCTGCGCTGAGTCATGTTGACCTCCTTCTGAGTGAAGATATATGTTAAACTTTTATAATATGTATACACATTCACTCTCTGCCCTAAAAGATAGTGTCGACATAGCTTCAATGCAAAAATAACCGCCACCAACTCTAGATCATGAACTGGGTAGTTCCTCTCATGTGTCTTCAGCTGTCTAGATATATAAGCTACTACCTTCCCATGTTGCATCAGAACACAACCTAAACACAAACCGGAAGCATCTGTGTGCACTACTAATCCTCCTGACTCATCCGGAATTGTCAAAACTGGTGTTGTCATCAACTTCTTCTTCAAGCCCTCAAACGCTGATTGACAGTCCTGAGTCCACACAAATTTGACCTCCTTTCTGGTCAGCCTAGTATGTGGTCCTGTAATCTTAACAAAATCATTTATAATCTCCTGTAGTATCCAGCCATCTCCAAGAAACTTCGCACATCTGTCACAGATGTAGGCGGATCTAACCTCAACACTGCATCAACCTTTTTTGGATCCACATAGATATCTTCTCCTGAAATCACATGCCCCAAGAAGGATACTTACTCTAGCCAGAACTCACACTTGTTTAATTTTCTATAGAGTTTCTCCTTCCGTAGGATTTCCAACACAGTCCGTAGATGCTCTGTATGATCTTCCTTAGTCTTAATTGTATACAAGAATATCATTGATAAACACCACCACAAACTGGTTGAGATACTGAGAAAACACCTTATTTATCAAGCTCATAAATGTAGATGGAGTGTTTGTTATCCCAAAAGGCATCACTAGGAACTCATAATGCCCGTATCGTGTGCAAAATATAGTTTTGGGTATGTCTTCCTTCCTTACCTTCAGCTGATGATAGCCTGACCTGAGGTCAAGCTTAGAAAACATCCTACCTGATTGAAAAGATCATCAATCCTGGGAATGAGGTACATATTTTTTATGGTAACCCTATTCAACTCCTTATAGTCAATACACATCATTTGGCTTCCATCCGGATTTGGTGCTAACATCACTGGTGCTCCCCAAGATGAAGTGATTCATGCCAGACATTGAGATTCCAAAAACGTCAAATACGATTCTCCTCTCAGCTGGAGATTGGTATATCATTAACGATGATTTGTAGCATTTTATGATATAATAACCAAACCATATCTAAAATCTCAAACGTGAAAAGAGGACTCACAAGTAGCCTAGAAAAAGGATAGTTGGGTGATTTCAAATGAAACTGATCCGTAGATTACAAATTTATTGACCCAATCCGACCGATCTATGAGCCATCCATAAACTGACTGCAGTTCCAAAATGTTTCCTAATCCGTATTAAGAATTAAGGTCGGGCTGCAAAACTGGGACAAGAGGAGGAAAGCAACCAGGTATGAAAGTTGCACATGCCTTCTATGCGATCACTGCAGTTTCATAACGTTTCCTGAAATGCGTTGCCGATAAGGTCATACTGCATAACAAAAGCAGAAGAAAAGCAAGCTGGCTAACATCAAAGAGATCGGAAGTTAACTAACAACAATTATGGGGTAAAAACCTTGACAAAAAACAGTGAGTGTCAAAAGCATGCACAACAAAACTGAGACAGGAGGAGGAAAGTAACCAGGTATGAAAGTTGCACATGCCTTTCTATGTGATCATTGCAGCTTCATAATGTTTCCTGAAATGCGTTGACGATAAGGTCATACTGCATAACAAAAGCAGAAGAAAAGCAAGATGGCTAACATCAAAGAGATCAGAAGTTAGCTAACAACAATTACGGGGTAAAAACCTTGATAAAAAACAGTGCGCGTCAAAAGCATGCACAACAAAAAGGTAACAGATTACAAAGGGATATATATACTGTTGCTTTCTATGTTACAAGAAAAAAAAATATACAACCACCAGCACATAAGTGCCAGTCCCTTGATTGTAGCACAAGGCATATATTGGTAGGTACTCACTACATCTCAAACAAAATTGCAAGAAAGAAAAAAGAAAGTACAAGGAGGGTTTGAAATGGCAAAGAAAAAACACTGGATTTCGAACCCAGATCTGTGTGTAACGAAGATAACTTGTCTCTTCAATGAAAGAAGCTCTACCTCTTTCGTTCAAAGTACGTAGCCATGAAAAGATCGCCAACAAAGTCCCAACTACTGCAAGTTTTGCATGGAAAAATTTATATTTTTACTTCCTGCGCTTATCACGTTTAACTTTCACGAACCTTCTGCCAGATTTGTCGCCACCTCCACCACCCAAAGAGAAGCTCCCTCCAGCATTAAACTCCACACTACCTGTTGGTTGAAATGGGGATGGATTTTGAGGAAGAGGACTTTGCTGGCCACCAAACTGGAAGGGTGATGGAGCCCCTGGTTGAACTGCCGGAGAACCAAACACAAAAGGTTGTGAAGGTGATGGATTTGTTGGTTGCCCAAATGATGGGACAAAGAGAGTTGCAGCCTGAGTTGTATCATCAGTCATGCTATCCTCATTCATCTGATCATTTCCAGGAGAACTTGAACCAAATCCGGTAGCGGGATTTGGTACTTCTCGAAAAGTGGGAACTGAGGAAGGGTTTGATGCAGTTGTAGTGCTAGCTGAAGTGAATGAAAACCCCGAACCTGATGATGGACCAAAGGTAAAAGGTGAAGTGCTTGAAGCAGAAGCTGATAATCCAAACGAGAATCCCGTCGATGAAGAAGTATTAGAATTAGAAGTTGAAACAAAAACTGATGGGGTGGATGCCTGCGAACTGGAACTAAAAAGACTAGGGGTAGCGGCGGCTGCAAAGGAAGAGCTACTGTTAGCAGTGGAAGATCCAAACCCAGAAGAGAAGGAAACTCCAGAACTTGAATGATTTGCAGGTGTAAGTGATGAAATACCAAAACCTGAACTCGAGGAAGACTTCCCCAAACTGAATGAAGGGGATGAAGAAAATGAACCAAACTGACTGATTGAACTTTGTGGGCTTTGAGTTGACTGAGTACCAAATACTGATCCTTCTGTAGCACTGACCGTACTGGCAACAGAGTTCTGAGAAGAAATATTGCCAAACAATGGACTTGAACTGGTAGATCCACCAGTGGCACCAAAAACAGTAGCAACAGGTATTTGGGAAGAACTATTAGCAAATGACAGGCCCGAAATAGTAGATTGCGTTGAAGCATTAAACCCAAAAGTATTGCTTATTGTACTTGGAAATGCAGATGATACTGCAATAGGGGAGCTGATTCCGGGCATGCTTGAAAATAAAGAGGAGGCTGCAAAAGAACTATTACTCATGGCTGATGTTGACAATGCTGAAGAAGAACCGCCACTACTGAAAATTGAAATCGGTGTTGAAACATGAGAAGAACTGCTTCCGGTGCTAGCAAACACAGTAGATGTTCCATGAGACATGGAACTAGATATGCCAAATTGTGAGCCCTTCAAAGAGTTTGCTCCCAAAGTAGATGAATTAGGTTTATCTAATGGCTGAGAAAAAGAAAAAGGAGCACTTGTCAAGAAATCTCCACCAGAGCCGATCTGGAATGAATTGATAGTAGTAGATGTAGGTGCTGTTGATGATGCAAATGAGCTGCTGGAGTTAGATGTGGCGCCAGTACTGTTAACAAAAATTGAGCTCGAAAGACTCTCAGAAGAAACTGGAGATGTTGTCAAAGATGAATGTAGCGAGCCATTATTTAGGTTAGGAGAAGACGATGTACCAAGGCCAAATACAGAAGGCTTAGGCAGTGCTGATAACCCAGAAGAAACAATATTTCCATATGATTTGGATAAAGATCCAACATTTTCCTTTTCGTTTTTATCTAGGGGAGAAATTTCTGCACAAGTTGTAGGGGCACTGCTGCAAACACAATTAAGATTAAACTAAATGAGCAAATGCATTGGGAAGGAAAGGTATCAACTTAAATAACGTAATGCTACTACTCCTGTTTGTTTTGATTAACATATTTCCACTTTTATGAGTATAATAATAATAGTCGAACGCATTTTTAATAATATATTGATTATGTTGTTAGTGAACTAATTTTTAAGGAAACTTAGTTTATAGCTTCCCTGTATAGATACAGTTGGAATAGAATAATTCAATAACAAGAAAAACATATATTCTGAAATAAAATTCTAGAATACTTGAATTTGTAACCTATTATAATCTGAAATAAAATTCTAGCATAGTAGAAAAAATAGACTTAACTATCTGTTAAAAGCCATCCTGGTAAATTATCCCCTTAAATCTAAATCATCGTTAACTTCTAGCCCAAAATCTATACATGTCAAATTGTCAACTGAAATGAAATTCACTATACTCACTACCCACAAAAAAGATTGCATCTAAAAACCAGTTATCGTTGATGAAAATTATGAAAAACATACAATGCCTGGGAAAACATATTGTGCGCGCGCGCATGTTGAAGGTTTTGAGCTAGCAGCTTGTTACGTTAAATGACCTACCAAGAGACAAAGGGTGATGAGACCCACCAATCTGATGTCACTGGTAGAGGTCATCACCACATGTCCATCTCTTGTCAGCATATTTAGCTAAGTAAAATATCACCTCATACACATTATTTCCATCTAGAAATATTATCTTGTTTTTAACTAAGGCAAAGGAAGTGACAATTACTAACTATGAACATGTAAATCTAAGTAAAAAAATAAAACCTGGTGCTTAATTTCAGTTCTGATCTTGATCCTTCACCAACTTTTATTCCCACACTACCATTAACACCAACATCGGTTGAGGAAATTGTGGATGAATTGGCATCCTTGGATTCAAAGCTAAATATAGGAGATGTCTGTTCTTTTGGGACATCTGGCCTGTCTAGCAGCGGGGTTGGCATAGTAGGTGTCGGAGGTGGCTGAAACTGAGAGCAGGGATCGGATACAATGGGAAATGCAAAGCCATTGTTCTTTTCAGTAACAACCGGCTGGAGAGCCTTCTTGTCAGCCTTCCGGGATGATGGCATGGAAGTTGAAACGGGCATGCTCTGGGACGAAGTTTTAATAGGATTGCCAGAGAATGCTGTTTCAGAAATGACATTAATCTGCTTGGACATCTTTGTGTCAGCATCATCATTCCCTGTTGTTAATGGACTGTTAAACTTCTTTCTCTTGTAGTCATCGTCATCCAGTTCCAGTGACTCCTGAAAAACAAATGAGACAAATTGATTATTAAGTATCAAGGAAATACAAATAACAAAGATTGATTGTATAAACAGCTCATACAGTTTAAACAATTGTTCAAAAGCATACCCTGCCACAGAATTAAAAAAAGGTTCATACCTCAGGAGCACTCATCTGGAAAGATGGTTTTTTAGGTACAGGAACTTCAACAGAAGTTGCAACAGTGATACTTTCAGATATCAAACCCTCATGGCCACCTTTAGAGGGCTTGCTTACACCATGAGCTTCAGATGACGACTTCCCTCCTAAGCAAACAGACTTCAATGGACCATTTTCTGTGACCAAATCTAGCTTCTGAGAGAGAGAGCTTCCAGCGTTTGGTTGATGAGCAGCAGTAAATGATTTTGAAGAAATTAAATTCTCCATCTTGCTTAGAGCGCTTCCATGCAGAACGTCAAGCGTCACCTTAGAAGGGGATTCAGACTGAGCAATAATTTTCGGTTCAGAGGATTTCTCTTTTGGTGAAGGTACTAGTTTATCAAGCTGTTGGAACAATTTCTTTGCTGTTTCACTTGACTGCGATGAAAGCATAGTAGGCCTAGAAATTCCATTTTCCACAGCCTTCAAACCTGTACCGTCAGACTTTTGATCATTCACCACGAGAGGTCTTTGTATCGACATAGAGCCTTCAGAAACATTTTTAAAAAGAGGAGTTGAAGGACTAGAAAGAAAATGTTCAGAAAGTGTCAAGCGTGGTCCTTTCAAAGGAGACATCAAATTTGATTTCTGACGGATCCTACGGATGGGGCCAAAGGATCCAAGATCACCATCTAAGGCAGAGCTACCCCGTTTCAGAACCTGCTTAACCGTGTCAGAAGTAAGTACAATAACCGTAAAAGAGTGTTTTTGCTACACAATTATAAGTAAAATGGAATAGTTCCCAATATGACCATCTGCAAATTGCACAACTGGCATGTCATTTTGTTCATATATTAACAGGAACAATGATCAATTTAAAAGAAATGATAGGAAAATCAAACAAAGAACGTAAATGTAGATCTGAAAGAAATCCCAGACTAGCAACAAGAACTGGTAAACTAATCTACATTCTAAAAAACATGAAATGAATATTTTTCCTCATCATTGCCATGACAAGAAAAAATTAAATCAGCTTCATTCAAGGAGGATGAAGCAATGTTGTAAATTTAGCAGCAGCATAGACAGGAATTGGAGCTTGCGGGCCCTCTTCTCTTAAAAGAAACTGAAACAATTATGTTATAATCACATTTGATAATCAAAGATTTTTTGAGAGAAAAGAATATGCTCTCAAACTTGAGACCCACAATCAAATATTATATACGCCTCTGTTTAAATGGAGGTTCAGAACTCAGGGAAGTTCTTGGACAATTTGGTAGAGGGTGACAACCCTTTCTCCAATACTCGAATTTTGGTTTGATTTTGGTTCCAACGATTTCTTTGTCCTCAACGCCCATTATTTCCAAGAATTAGTCACTTCAACGATCTTTGATGGTTATATGGGTATCCAAAGTACAAACGAGATGGATGTTTGTTGTTTTCTTATGAAGAACTTATACATGGCCTATGACAAAGTATTAACGATAATTACACTGATTATAAAATAACTTTTTTCTCACAATAATTGACTAGATTTGAATCTATTGGAGAAATTATGGGAAAAAATTAAGTAATTTTATTAGACACAATAGACAATGCATGTGTTAGATATACTTTTGTTTATTTAAGAATCGAAAATCTCAAAACAGAGAATAAATTTTATTACTTCTCCCCTAACTTATTATTTTTCCCCTCTACCTTCAGCCACTCCCGAGCGCCTTCTAATTTTTGCACGATGTATTTTTTTCATTTCCTCTTAACCTGACCAGTAGATTAACATTTAAATAAAGCTTAATTGAACTTAAACACCCTGTAGATTCTGCTATGTTGCACTTATATATCCTCACTTGTTTTTGGCAACACTTATATATCCTAAAGTTTATAAACTTACACTTATATACCCCACTTATTTTTGGTAGCACTTGTCTACCATAAAGTTTTAAAACTGGCACTTAAATACCCAAAAGCTTTTTTTTTATAAACAAATACCCTAAAGTTTTTCAGACTTGCATTTACATACCCTCAAGTTTGCATAACTGAGGGCATTTAAATGCATATTTTAAAAAGGGTATATAAGCGCTGCGAAAACAAGTGAAGGTATATAAGTGCAAGTTTTAAAAACTTTTGGGTATGTAAGTGTTGCAAAAAACATGTAACAGTATATAAGTGCAAAATAGAGGAAACTATAGAGTATTTAAGTGCGACTAAACCAATTTAAACAAATAAATTAATCCAATACAAAATAGAAACTAAGTTTGCAAGTGGTCACACCTTACATTTTAACTATATTATTAAATATCTTCAACCGCATAAGAACATTTCTTATGTGGTCCAAGCGACATCATGCTTAGCGTGGGATTTCTATGACTTCAATCAAAGGCATTATATAGCATCCCACATAATTTTGCGGCTGGGCTGCGGAACACCTGCCCCTCTTGACTCCCCTGGCTCCGCCGTTGAAATTCAGCATGTACAGTGTAAAGTTCCCCGGCACAATCGGCATCAGATGTACACTTACGCATTAGTTACAAAGGAGAGGGGAGCATATGGATGTCATGCATGCATGTATATAAGCAATATGTATGTACATGTGTAGTATGTATGTGTGCTTTGTATTTACAATTACATGTATGTATGTTACGTCTGTGTATATGTATTAGTTCCAACTGAGAGGGGATCTTTCAATGAGAACTAGTCAAAGTAAGCATTGCGAGAACATAGAGTCGCACGTTATCCTCATCTCTAATCCAAAAGAATCTGAAGTGAAATATCGGGATTTCAGGAACTTTTTAGTCATGCATCAGCCAATAACTTTTTTGGTAGCTGAAGTAATATGCTCTTTTTCAACCAACAGGCAAGAACATGAACTGTTATCAAACCAAAAACAGAGTCTGAGGGAGAACTTGCTAACTTGTGGATTAGTCTAGATATATCTAGCTTGTCAATTTCGCCACTGAATAGCGTTCACTATCATATTATCCTGACCTACTACTGCACTTCTACTTTCCGTACATATGGTAGTTTTGTTTTCCGGATGTTTCACTATGTGCAGGAAAGTTTGTGTTTCTAGATGAAATGTGACAGGAGCACTTTGCAGTAACCCAAATGGTAACAATCTAGAACAAATGCCAGTACTGATTTCATGGTAAAATAAGTATTATGGCATAGCTTTTATTGGTAAATCAGTTAGCAATTGTGCCAGACCATCACTAATGCTCATACAACAAGTCCTAGTGTTTGAATCCACGTATGACTGAAATCAAAGGGATTTTTGCATGTTATGCCTCTATTACTTTCTAATGCACAGTCAGTGTAGTAATGGAATGATACAGTGACTAGGATGCAGGAATTACAACGAGGAAGGCTACCTGTTTTCCTCCTGACTTCATAGAACTTGGCGTCCACTGAGATGATGATAGACTAGAATAGCCATCCCTGGAAAGGTCTCCAGCCTAAAGAGAAATCATAACAAGAACTGTAACTGGTAAAGAACAAGCATACAATGAACAGAGAGAAATAGGCAAGCAATGATCAAACTAGAAGGCAGCAGCAATTGCTAGTACCATCAATATAGCTGGATATTGCAACAGCATTTACCTTAAAATATGGAGATCTGGACATTCTATATATTGCAGATCTCCCAGGAGGCTTTGCTATCCGATAACCATGCTCAGGTTGTTCAGGAATTCCAGAAAAGCATATAACAGATCGTGGTGCAACTGAAAGGTCCAATCGTTTTGATGTAGATGGTACTCTTGGCAAATTGGAATCTTCCTGAAATACCTGGCTTCCAACTGAAGAAGTTTTTAAAGGCCGTGAATCCATGTATGCTTTTGCAAGTTCTGCAGGTGAAGCAGCTTCATCTTTAGGAATCTGTAAAACATCATCAACCAATGTGTATTATTGTTAAATCAAAGCAAGAAAGCAGGAGCCAGTGTTTCCCCTGAAGCCTCGATGAGATGTGACCGCCTACATGGGAAAGGGGGAAGGACTCCTGAGAGTGTAGAAAGGTAACAAGGGTTATCATCGTACCATTACATTTACAGCTCCTGGTCTTTCTTTTCGGGAGGGAGGGAGGGAGATGTTTACCGGCTCATACCATTCTATAATCTCAGGAAATCCTTTATCAGCTCTTAGATAGGGATTAAGTCTTGCTGGTGTAGTGCCAGCTAGCTATATATATTAAAAGGCAAATCTGCTATCACCAGCACATATCAGCAAGCACAACTTGTTAATCCACAATTATAATCCGCATGCAATGTTCGTTAAGTTGAATAAACCAGAGGCCCTTGCCAATTCCTTACAGAACCTTTATGGTCAATAACAAGAGAAACCTAAAGAATTTTAGCTCCATGAAACAGAAGAAAGAAAATTCTTGATTCTGCTGCCCAATTCATTTTACCATTAAAAAATGTGCTCTTTCTATATAAATATTGAAGTACTGGATGCTCTCGCTATTTAAAAATAACATAAAATGGCTATAACTTTCAACAAGAGAAAGAACAGATATGAGCAACACAATTTAATACTTGTTTTCGAACAGGAAACAATCTGCAGACTGGAAGACTTACACTAATTCTTGAGCTCACAATTCCATCTTTTTGTGCTGAAACACTTGCTTTTTCTTTTCTCTCATAGTTAATTTCACGCTCCGAATTCGAAGCTTCAACAGTTCTCGAATGCAGTAGTTCCACCAACCGGTCATATTCGACCCTGCTGACAAGAAAAATGAATTAAATTGTGCATCAAGGCAAAATATGGCCATGCATGGAATGAAAATTAGATTGAGCATGAAAACTTAGCATCGAAAATAGCTATAAGCATAAAGGTAAGAATGTAGTGATGTCAAATTGCTGGGATTTCAGAGTTGTAATTAATATAGGAAAGAGACTAATAGATGATATAATAATATTTGTCAGCAGTCAATTTCAACATTATTAATTCAGAAGATAAGAAAATATTGTCAATATTCATTCCGTAAATACTTTCCTGGTAAAAGTTTTCTGCTCCAATAATTGTTCAAGTTCAGCAATTCCACTACTGCCAGAACTATTAGTCCTGTTTTCTCCGTCCCTGCTGCCATTCTGTATTTGAGATGGACACGCGTTATTCTGTATTTGAGATGGGCTCTTGTCATTCTGTACTTCAGATGGACTCTCGCCACTATCAATTTCAGATGAAGGTATCTGCATATAACAATAACAGCAGTCCAAAGAATATAGAATGACCAATAAAGCTGCAATAGTAATACAAAATGCACATTAAAGCCGCAACAGTAATACAAAATGCACATTAAAGCTGCAATAGTAATAGCAAAATCAGAAAATGAATAGCTAACGCATTTACCAGAAAGTGAAATAAAAACCATAAACATGAAAAAAGAAGCAACTTACGTAGCTCCCATAAATAATAGAAAGCATACTTCTCTTACAAAACATGGCAGCAGTACAGGAAGCACGGAGTGAAATCTCAGAGACATAATGTCAATCTCCGACAAGACACAATTTGCTGATGTTGAAAAATCTTGGAAAAGAGAGCGTGGGACCAATCATAAGTTTTGATATGCATCTAGATCAAAGGACTTTCAGTTTCGAAAAAATCACTATGGACAATAAGTGAAACCACAAACAACAGCCAATTAACTAATACGGTAATCCTTAAACATTTCCCTTACTTGTTGGCGCTTGTGGTTAAATCTGGAATAATACAGATATATAACAGCAAAAACTGAACAGAAAACTGAAGTGCAATAATTTAAATTTTTCCAACTCAGCTGCTGTGCGTTTGTAAAACGTTATGCTTAAAGCATTATTTGGCCTACTCCGGTATAAGGATCCCAAGATCAATTTGCTTTCAGGAACAGCAGTCCAGTACTCTGGTGTGCACCGACCCAGTACTGTCAAGATCTCCTCAATCTATAAGGCAAAGATCTCCTCGATCTATCAGCCAAAAATCTCATCGATCTATAAGACCTTCTCGGTCTAGGCACTGTTTCTACGAGCACTAGTTATTCTACAACATATATATCTGTATATATTGATTGTTGTTTTTGGAATGAATTTTCCTTAAGGATTTGGGGTCTATTTATAGCATTTGAGAAAACATTATGTACTAATAAAATATTATTATTTTACTATGCATGTGGGGCCTACGTCCAAGTTTTTCTTCAGTGGGGCCCACCACTTTTGAAAAAATAAAGAAAATAATAATAATATTCAACAATCTCCCATAATTTTTTTAAACTAGTATCGTGTAACAGTGTCGTCGTTTCAATCGTTATGCATAAGGAATATGTCGCAAGGACTTGAATCCCCTTTAGTCCACCTGAATAAAAGATATGTGCATGGTGTCGCAGAGACTTGAACCAGCACGTCTAAAAATCCAGCGATCACACAGGATCAAACTTATCTGTGATAGTTTTTACTTTGAACCACACTTGCTTTTGCCTTTGCTTTGCCTTTGCCTTTGCATATTTATGGCCCAGTGCATGTCCTGATTTTTGCTAGGACTCTAAGTATCTTTCCATAAGACACCATAGGAGACGGTCAAATCTTCACCCATGCATAGGTGTACACCGACCCATGCATAGGAGACGGCCAAATCTCCACTCATTAAGGCTTAAGAGTCATCCTCTCTTATAATAGGATTCTAGGTGAGTCCTTTAGGTGTGTGTTTCCTATCTAACACCCCACATTCAAAATGTTTTAAACTCATTAAGGCTTAACAGTCATCCCCTTTACATGATAGGATCCTAGGTGAAAAGATTAAAATTTTATCCGGACAGTTCAGCCAGGTAAGGATAGTACTAGAGGGAGATTAAAAATCAATTAAGTATCTCGTTCTTTGCGGAGCGCGTTACACAACCCACAAACCTTGCCTTAGACACCGACTAATCCAAGAAAACTTGAACCCTTTCACTTGTAAATCTTATTTGACTTTTGAACCATTTATCTTGTCATTAGTAGCATAAGTTTTGAACTAATAACTAGATGTAAATGGTAAGTATTTGTAAGACTCACCAAACTTTGCAAATCTTACTTGACTTTTGAACCAATTATTTTATTATTAGTAGCATAAGCTTTGAACTAATAACTTAATAAACATGGTAAGTATTTGTAAGACTTACAAAACTTTGAGACCCATTCCAGCAGACGTTCTTTCGACTATGTCTTTTTTCAGACCTTTAGTCAAAGGATCAGCCACATTCTCTAAGATCGGACGTCAATCACAGAGATAACTCTGTGATAAATGAGCTCTCTTAAATAGCCATGCTTCAGACGAATGGTTCGCTTCTTTCCATTGAACATCGAGATTGCTACCACATCACTCGCTACCTGATTATCACAATAGATAGTAATTACGTCTTGTAATTCTGTCAATGAAAAGTCTTAAAGAAAACAACTGAACCATTCAGTTTCATCTCCTACAGCACAGAGTGCGAAGAATTCAGATTTCATCGATGACTGTGTAATCATGGTCTGCTTCTTAGACTTCCACGAGACGACAGCTCCACCCATGGTGAAAACAAAACCTCCAGTAGACCTGTACTCATCTGATTCTGAGCACCGGCTCGCATCTGAATAACCTTCGATTATACCCGGATATCCAGTGTAGAATAGACCCAGACTTGTAGTTCCTTTTAAGTATCTCATCAATCTCTGGACATCATCCCAAAAAAGCTTTCCAGGATTACTTGTGAACCTACATAGCATTCCTATAGCGAATGTTATATCTGGTCTTGTGCAGCTCATCGCGTACATAAGACTCCCAATGATCTTTGAGTACCTTAGCTGCTCTACTGGTCTTTCGGTGTTCGATCGAAGCTTCTTGTTGTAATCATACGGCACTGATAGTTCTGATAGGTCGTGATAGTCATACTTCCTTAGGATGTTCTCGACATAATGAGATTAGGACAATCCAATACCCTCTTCAGAGTATATGATTTTAATTCCGAGAATCACGTCCGCAGTTCTAAGGTCCTTCATACTGAACTGTGTCGAGAGAAATTTTTTAGTAGATGTTACTATCTCCAAGTCACTCCTGATGATGAGCATATCATCCACATAGAGGCAGATGATCACCATATTATCTTCAACGACCTTAATCGACCTTAATGTATAGACACTTGTCAGATTCACTGACTTGATACCCATTGTTGTGAATAATCCCATCAAACTTCTCATGCCAGAGTTTTGGTGCATGCTTAAGTCCATATAAAAATTTAACAAGTTTACAAACCTTACTAGCTGGAGCATCAAGTCCTTCTGGTTTCTTCATGTAGATCTCTTCTGTGATATCTCCATTCAGAAAGACAGTCTTCAGACTCTTCACATCCATCTGATGTATGACAAACCTTTTAATCGTCGCTCATGCGATAAACACTCTAATGATAGTGATCCTACAAACTGGTGCATATATATCAAAAAAATCTATACCTTCTTTCTGAGAGAATCCTTTCTCCACCAGTCTTACTTTGTACTTTTTAATAGTACCATCAGGACGAAGCTTTTTGTTAAAGATCCACTTGCAAATAATAGATCTTACACCTTCAGGTACATCCACCAACTCCAAGTATGATTTTGGATCAATGAATCCATCTCATCATCTATAGCTTTTTTTTATAGAAGAACGACTGCATTACTTCTTGAAAAGTCTGTGGATCTCCTTCCACATTATAGGTGATGAAGTCATCTCCAAAATCTTTATATCTCCTGATACGCTTGTAAGATGGTTCGATAACTCCGTCATCATTGACACTCAGTTTCTTGCGAAACTGACTCCTCTTGTGTATCTGACATACTAACATTCGCGGCTATATCTTTGAGCAATAAGTCTTTATCTTTGATAAACTTATCCTCAAAGAATTCTGCATCCCGAGCTTCAATGATGGAGTTGGTTCCAAGGTCCAGGAACCTACACGCATTGCTATCTCTAACAAAGCCAAGAAACACACATTTGTTTGCCTTTGACTCGAGTTTAGGGCTTCTGATATCTGTAATTCGAACGTATGCGAGACACCCCCACACTTTGAGACTATCCAAAGAATTAGGATATCTCAACCATAACTAATGAAGAGTATTATCAGTTTTGGAGTAGGGTACTCTGTTCAGAATCCAATTTGCTATTAGCAAAGCCTCTCCCCAATAGCAGGTAGGAAGATCAGATATGATTAGCATCGAATTCACCATCTCGATCAATGTGCGATTCTTTCTTTCTGCAAAGAAAATCTTAAAGCATAGTAAAACGATGTGCTTAAAGTATTATTTGGCCTACTCCGGTGTAAGGATCCCAATGCCAAATTACTTCCAGGAACAGCAATTCAGTACTCTGGTGTGCACCGACCTAGTACTGTCAAGATCTCCTCGATCTATAAGGCAAAGATCTCCACGATCTATCGGCAAAGATCTCCTTGATTTATCAGGCAAAGATCTCTTCAATCTATAAGACCTTCTCGGTCTAGGCACTGTTCCTACGAACACTAGCTATTCTACAACATATATATCTATATATATTGATTGTTGTTTTTGGAATGAATTTTCCTTAAGGATTTTGGGTCTATTTATAGCGTTTGGGAAAATAGTATGCACTAATAAAATAATATTATTTTACTATGCATGTAGGCCCCACGTCCAAATTTTTCTTCGAGTTCAAGACAAACTTATTATGCTTTTTATCTTCTATTTTTTAACTTGCAGATCATATCTCTAGACAGTAGCCAACAACATTAAAGAACACAATCTCCTTTAGAAACATCATCATCTGTTCATCTAAAGTCTAGGGGTTGGTCACAGATCCTCCTGGTAACATCTTATTACATGAGTTCCTGGACCAATGAGGCAATGCAGGTCTTGACTAGCAGCCAAGCAGCCTTTTTATGGCTGAATTAATATCACCTCTGTAGCCATTTTTTTTACTCAACATAAGGTGTATTTATGGTTGAATTAGCTTCACCTCTGCGGCCAATTATGCTTTTTTTACTCAATAAAAGGTGCATTCGTAAAGGAGCAGTCGGAATGCCATGTGGTCCCAAGTAGGCAACTACATCCAAAATCCATTACATGTTTGGTTGGGTATTGATGAAACTCCATACAGTGTTATGAAGGCAAACTGCTTTAAAGAAAGTGGAGTATACCTTCTTTAAGCTGAGGAGTGCTCCCACAGCAGTTGCTTGCAACCAAGCATATCCACAGAGTAGTCCATACAAGTCTTCATTATAATGGAGAAATTTATCACATACATCCCCGATATAAACTTTTTATACAAAAATCTTCTACATAATTTATCTTGCTAAATGCAAGTAAAATAATTCTGATTACATTTCCAGCTGTTATCAACCAAATATAAAAAATCCAAAATTGCAATATGTATTTCTCATGCACTTGACCAAAAGCACACATGCTTGCAAAAGTATCCTAACTAAATGGATCCAAGCCCAAAACCAAACCAAAGTAAATCGAACTAATTCGGTTTAGTTCCAAATCTAGTATGGTTCAATTTGGTTTTGCCAAAACTTGCCAAAACAGAGTGAACTGACCTTTTGCTCACCCCTACCTCTGGAGCTTGATAAGACAAATTTCCTGTAAGTCTTGCATTGAATACTCATACAAATTGTTAAAAACCAAAAATCAAAGCAATTATTAGGCAGTGCACCAAGTACGCTTAAAAAAAGTCGATGCACGAATACAAATCATAGAAGGCAAGAAAGCAAATGCATAATCATGTAGCAGAATATTCTCCTAAGGGAAGTAACAAAATTATAGGATTAAAACACTGGAAATACATAACTAAAAAGAGGATTTTATTTACATACGGTGTCAGCAATGTGGGAGACATCTTGTCTGGATTGATGATCTTCCTCTGAAACATAAGACAAATACCAACATGGGATAAGTATAATATCAGAGAGTGAACTAGAGTTCACAAAGTAAATAAATATGTTCCAACAACTACAGAGAGTTGAATAGAAAACATGTGGCATGCAACAGAAGATGGAAATTGACCATTCACTACAAGGGAAATCAATATCGAATCAATTAGCACTAGAGAGTTATTTTCATGTAACAGAAGATACACCGAGAACATAACAGAAAAGACGTCATTTTTAAACTCATCTCCATGTGCATCACATAGAAAAATTGATGGTCGCAACAGATCGCTTGTCCTAGTTTTACACTTTTTACAAGCTTTTTATTACCAATCTTACACAAGGAAAATGCAAGTGCCTTCAATATGCTGACTTCAAAGACTATTTAAGAACTTACGTGAGAGTAAAGATAACCAATTTACAAAGGAAACTTAAAAAGATAAAAGCTAAGCTAGAAGGTTGGAATCAAAATTGCTTTTGTTTCTCCTTTGGTTATAGGTATCAAAGTTAACTCTGTTGAAACTTTGGGGTATTTTTTTGAGCAAAAAAGAACTTTACGTTATCAGAACTAAACATGGGGCAAACAATCAAGTATTAAATGCAAATAGCCCAAAATATGATAAAATATTTGCGCCTAAAATTCTATGAGAAAAGACATGCACAAAGCTATCTTGACAAGAAACAGTCTGCTGATTGGTCTATGAAGTTTCACATTTGTCAAATGCTGCTGTCAACTTCTTCTTCTTCTTCTCTCTTTTTTCCCGCTCCTAAGGTGGGGTTGGGAACCGTTACTAACAGGTAGGGTCCGTCAATTTTGTGTCTGCCTTAACTGACCCATTCAACCCATTTGATATTGTATATTCGGCTAACCCAACTAGCAATTCTCTCCCTCCCCAATCTTCAGGAGCGGTCAAGCAATTCTGGTTAATGTGCTACAGCTGTTTGATCGTTAGTTTAGCAATTCTTCATTTAGCTTTAATGGGTATGAAATCATGTTCTTTGTAAGATTATAAAGCAAGCTCAATTCGTTCCTATGCTTTTTTATCCCTTCAAATTGATGAAGCTATTTCTTCTTTTTCACAATTTTGTCAGTTAATTCTTTTTATGAGTTTGATGCTTGAGCATTTCTTCTTTTCTGATTTGGTCCCTGTTGCCAACATAAAGTTCAAGCCTTTCTCCAATTTTAGAGCTCAACCATTTTTTGTGAGAATTTAGAGCCCTATTGATTCTGTTTCATATTTGATTTTAAAAATATGATTTTCTCCTATTCTTTGTTGATCTATTTTCCTGTTTTGTTGCAACTAGCAGTAGTCGCCTAGTCGATGAATCAATGTACATTGTGAATCATTTCTTTTCAATCTAGTGTTTAAGGTAAATAATAAATTTGATTCTGTCTCCATGCACTTGCGAGCTTCATAAGTAACTTACACTTAGTCTAGGACTTTCTTTACATGGTATAGCAATTGTTTTGGATTTTTTTGTCCTAACAACGTTAATTAAATTTGGACTGGCTAGAATAAGTATCAATTTATGTTGTTTTAGTACATTTTCTCTCAATGATGATGACAATGATGTCATCATCACCATCATGATCATGATGGCCAGGGAAAATAATCAATGTGCATTATTCTTGTCTTGAAGTAGTTTGATGGAGTACTTAATTGCATTTCATTCACTAGTGTGCTTGTAACATTAATTGACAGAAGATTAAATACGAATTTCCCCCATTATGTAACTTATGGAGCTTTTTATCTCCCCATGGCCAATGAAGATTATATATTAATCTTGTAGTGCTCCACCTACACAAACAGTTGACATACTCAATCCCACCCAACACACTCCCTAAAGCACTGACCGTATTATATAGGTCACGAGGGTCCCAAGGGTCAAAAGGATCGGGTAAGGGTTACCCTTTTAATAAACAGGTTGGGTATATTGACCTGTTTATTAAATGTGTCTAGTTCAGGTCAAGTTTGTATGCGTCATGTCAGGTCAAGATGACCCGACGTGACCCATTTGATACCACTAAACCTTGTGTAGACTGCAAGATGAAGGGACAGCCATCCTGCAATTAAATTTTGAATAACCAAGTGTTACACGTCCAATTCATGGAAATTAAATTATGTTGTTACCGGTTAGCCAATAACTGCTTGAAGCATCAATATATAAAGCTGCAACCTAGTCATTTTAGAACTTATAAACCACATCTTCTTTGGTGGGAAAACTTAAACAATTGGCGAACTGCTAAATATCTGAATCACACTTGACAAATCCTGTAAAAACATCATGAGAGACTTAAAAGAGGCCTTTACATGTATATGAGTATGTCGCAGTACTCTTCAGGTTGAAGTTGAACAAATGATACAAGTACAACAAGAATCCAATTGGTCAGTCCCTACTCTAACATGGCACATAACAACCTGACTTCAAGCAACTATAACAGAGATTAAAACATGAGAGGATCTGTAAAGCTCTGGAACCTCAGCTAGCAATCTGTAACTTCAGTAACCTGCTAGATTGAATCCAAATTCAGATAAGAACATTCGCCCGAGCTTATTATTTGATTTCATCATCTCAATTTGGAGCTATCTCTATCCATTTACTATTGTTACTCATAACCAGTGCACCTAATGGACTCTGTTCCACATGCCTGAAATGAGTTCTACCTCACTTTTCATCAAATTGGAGATGCCTCAAACTTCAGCAGATTCCTAATTCTCATCCTATCTTTCAGTATCCTGCCACTTGTCAATTTTAACATGCTTCTTTACGGTAGATGTGCATTTCCGACATGTCGTTTCTTATTTCCCAACTATATTAATATTAACCATGAAACATGGATGATGAATATATTTATTAACCACACTGTTAATTTTCTGTTGAATTTACGCGCTTCCAGATAACAAAAACTCCATGTGCACCTACCTCCTTCTTTAATCACTTGACTTGATTGTATGAGAAAAATCATTCTTAGCATCATCCTCATGATGAATAATATACATTAAGTAGTGAAAATTGTATATATAGATGTTTCTTAGACGACAACAATAAACTCGTTTGTTCTCTTAGTATTGATGAAATTGTAGTTTGTATATTCCACATTAAAAGTGGCAAGTTAAAGTTCTTTTAGGGAATAAAGTACCTCTCGATCTTTCTACTCCATAACCATCAATTACTATAACATTATCACCAAACAACAGCACCATATAATATGTTAATTTATGAAATATCACGATTAGAAGTAGACAAGGTTTTAATTTGATGTTCTTTAATTCCAATAAAACGAAAACTAAATTAGTTTACATTAAAAAATCCTAAATCGGTTTTGTAAACTAAAATCAAGATTCATAAAAACAGCCACAAGAAAGGTGGATGACATCACTACAGATCAAACTTACAGTAAGAATATAAAGACACCATTAACAGCATTTTTATACAAATACCACTGTGAATCACTCTAAATAAACCAGATTATCAGTTAATCCAAGATAAAGCACGCATTCGTTAAAGTTGGTAGATTTTCTTCGTACAGATGGTTAAATAATCGATAGCGGATCAAAATACCACAATTACAACACTAAATCTCAATTTAGTATCCCAACAAGAAGAAGAAGAAGAAGAAGAACAAACCGAAGGACAATTGAATCAAAACCCTAATTGAAAAGAGGACTTCTCCAACCTGGGGCCGCCGGTGGAGTCGTGAGTCGCTTCCTAAACATCGAAGAGAACAGCTTCGACGCTCCTCTCGAGATCAATCGAGAAGCGGGATCAACGAGCTATCAATATCAGCCGCCCCAACTCCGTCAGTGTCCTGCCGTTCCTCTGACTCCACGCAACGCCTCCGGAGGACGATCGTAGGGCGTCGACGCCGCTGGCCGGAACGGCCGCCTCCTAAAAGGACCGCCCATACCTCCCTCGTTCGCCGGCGTCGCCATTGAAGGGGGGATCGACTATAGCAGGCGAGAGACGGAGTCGCGAAAAGAGAGGCGAAAATGAAACCCTAGATTTTGTACTTGCGGGGGGATTTGGGGAGGGCGGAGAAAGGGGCAAAGATACGGAATACGCGTATTAAATAAAGGGACGGATTAAATAAACCGGCTATTTGCGTAGTGGTCTGTGGGGGCCACTTACTGCGATATAACTTGTGGGGTGGATTTGTTGGTTCACGATTATGTGAGTGCTTTTAATAAATTAGGTTTTATAGGAATGGGCAGTTTCCGTCGGGTGACCGCGTAGTGAGGTTACCTCCCTCGTACTGTCAAAAGAATTCAGGCACCGAAAATATTTGCCGGTTGGGTGAAAGACTATGTACGCTCACTGGCGAGTGACGGTAACCCTTCACCGTGAGATGTAGGATTTGAATGACTGCGACTTGATGGTGAAAGACCGCATGTGCTTTTCTGATTCCTCGGGAATGGCTGGCGGACACAACAGAATTGGGTTAGCATATAATAAGTAGATAAGGTGTCATTTTTACCTTGTCAACGGCTTAGAGCATCTCCAACAGCTCCTCTAAAATTTTCTTCAAAATGGGAAAGCAAAAGTCATATTCTCCAACTAATTTTTACACCAACTCTAACAGCTTTCACATTTTAAAGAATCCATTTTTTTCTCCAAAATTTTGGAGAATGCTGCAGATTTGGGGAAGCTTCCCCATTTTTTCTCCTTCATTCCTATTTTGGGGAATGAGATGGGGAATCTGTTGGGCCAAAATCCTAAAGGGGGGTTAGTCACCTAGAACTTAAATTTAGAACTGGGATAATCTGTGTGATAAAATTTTAACGTGTTAGTCACATAGAACTAAACCTAGAACAAAATTTTAAGGTGTTAGTCACATAGAACTAAAACTAGAATAAAATTTTACAGTATTAGTCAAACAGAACTTTAACAAAACTAGAATTGGGGTAATGGTACAAAATTATCCCACTTTTTTTATTTTTCTATACAAAAATGAGAGTTCTAGTCTCTCAAATTATTCCAAGTTTTAGCTTGGAACTATGTGGTAAAAAACTAAAACTTGTATTTATTTTGTTATTTTTTATTATTTTTTCTTTACTTATTTCCTATTATGGTTATCACCATCATTAGACCATCATCATAATAATAATTGTCAATATCTTACAGTCTAACCAAAAGTTATTTAATAGTAACGAACATTCTTGTAAGTAATTATCAATTAATAATAGTAAGTTTAAAATACATAAATAGTATTTATATCTTCAAAATGCATAAATATATACTTCATGATTATAAAAATTTATCCCACGTTATTTTATCAAAATATCCCGCTTCACAAAATTGTTCCTAGTTATCCCACTAAAATATCCCACTAGCGAAATATTATTCTACTTTAACAATTATCCCATTTTGCATGAAAATGTCCCAATTGACTAACACCCCCTAACTAAATTCTCCAAAAGTGAGAAATGGGGAAGCTGTTGGAGATGCTCTTAGTGCGCGCCATGCAAAACACTTAGGAGCTGTTTAGCTGATGTATTTGTCATTGGGGGTTGGCCAGAAAGCCTGCTAAAAGAGTACTTTTGGCAGGCTTTCTGTCCAACCCCCAATGCCAAATACATCAACCAAACAGCCCCTTACCCTATTTTTTTAGCGATGCATTTTAAACTCGTTTTCTTCTAGGTTTTAATATATTTAATTTAACTATTATATGTTTAAAATTAAAAATTATATCTATTTCTCTATACTTAAAGAATGATTGATAGATTTAATTTATAAATTATATTTATTCATCTATACTTAAAGGAGTATCCAAATTTTAATATTTTTTATTTGCTTTGCTATTTATGATATAATAAATAGTAAATTACTATAGTATGAATAGTAACTCCAAGTATATGGAGAAGCATATTTGATTTACTACTTATGCTACAGTGAATTATTGGAGCATGAAGAGCAACTTCGAGTGCAGAGGACCGTATTTGATTTACTATTTATGCTATAGTATTTATAGTAGCATGAACAGTAATTCTTTGGATTCTCCTTTTAAGTATAGAGGAGTAGATTTTGTGCTCTTTCAGTTCCGAACAAAATAATGTTTGTCCTTTAAATCCTCAATGATTCCATATTAGTCCCTCAATAACCAAAATGCCCATCAACTTATGTTTCGACTAAATTACCATATTTTGATATTAAAAATGGGACCTAATAACCAACTTGGTATTTTTTAACCCCAGCAATGGTAAGATACTGAAACTTGCACGATTGGGCAAAAATAGGCCCAAAAAATCATCGCCAACCTTTTTTCTTCAGTACCCATCCATGTGACCAAACACGTGCGTCTAACGCAATTGTCTTAAATGGATTTGGTTGCTTTTTAATGCAAATGTGGCTAAGAAGAAAGGGGTATAATGACTACCCCTTCACTAAGGGGTTGTTTGTTTCACCAAGGACTAGGAATAGGATTAGGAATCCTATTTAATTTATGGATTCCAACCTAGTCCATAAAAAATTTATGGAGAAGTTTGAGTTTTATGGAATCCCACTTTTTTTGGCTTTCAATGTTTGTTTCACCCAAAGGATTAGTAATCTCACTTCAATGTTTGTTTCACCCAAAGGATTAGTAATCTCACTTTTATAGAATTGGTCCAATTCCTAATACCATGTTTGGTTCAAGAAGAATATTTTTCTTGGGATCGTTACTGTAGCAACGGCTTTCTCAATTTATATTTAAAAAATACTGTAGCAACGGATTTAAGCGCCCAAAATCAGATTTCAAGCAGCAAACATTGTAGCAACATTTTTACAAATCACTGTAGCAACGGATTTAAGCCCCCAAATCAGATTTCAAGCAGCAAACACTGTAGCAACGGCTATTTCCAGATCTAAAAACACAGATTTCAATATTCTTAGGCAAATCACTGTAGCAACGGCTATTTCAGGGGCATGGATGGTTCAGTTGCCTAAAAGGCAAGATAATCACATCTCTGCACAGCTTACGACAGAGGAATGGACTCTGATCAAAAGAGCCCGTTCTACCCTGAAGGAGCGTATACAAAGGCGTCAAGCAAAAGCAGCTCACGCTCGTGCCCTTCGTCAACAAGCGCAGGAAAACAAGAAGGAAGTGGTATCTGGAAAACCACAGAAGAACTGTAAAGTTTGGGTTCCCAATTCTTAGCAATTTTTTGTGTTATTTTAATTATTACAAACTTCATGTCATGTACTTGTAATTGCAAAAACTATTGAGGATGTAATGAAAACTGTTGTTTGAATTGGGTACAAATTCTAATTGATATTGTATGGCTCAGTAATAGATCAACTTGTCATCATTGATTGCCCCACCTATAACTTACATGTTTATTACAAATTGCATTATAAGGATGAATTGCCTCGCCTAGACATTGTCATTTCAATGTAGGGTGCAATCTCATCCCCTTTTGCCTCATCTGGATATAATAAATGATGTAAGTTAGATTGCATTCTCAGTAAACGCTGATCATCATCATTGCCATATATCAAGTGCAAGGAGCTGCACAAGCTTAAAACTAAACAGCAAGTAACCCACAGGCTCGGAAAAACAAAACAGCAGCATGGTGAGAATGTATGATGGGGAAAAACAAGCAACAAACCCCAGCTCCTGCAAGCACAAACCCAGCAACTAAACAGCAACAAACCCAGCAACAGCAGGAGCTGCCAAACTGAGGAAAAACAGGCACAAACCCCAGCTAGCAAGGAGCTACACAAGCTCAGAATAAAACAGCAACAACCCCATTAGCAAGGAGCTACACAAGCTCAAAAACAAAACAGCAACAACCCCATTAGCAAGGAGCTACACAAGCTCCAAGAACAAAATAGCAGCAAACCCAGCAGACATTGGGTAAACAAGCAACAAACCCCAGCTCCTGCAAGCACAAACCCAGCAACAAAACAACAACAAACCCAGCAGCAGCAGGAGCTGCAAAACTGAGGAAAAACAGGCACAAACCCCAGCTAGCAAGGAACTACACCAGCTCAGAATAAAACAGCAACAACCCCATTAGCAAGGAGCTACACAAGCTCAAAAACAAAACAACAACAACCCCATTAGCAAGGAGCTACACAAGCTCCAAGAACAAAACAGCAGCAAACCCAGCAGACATGGGGTAAACAAGCAACAAACCCCAGCTAATGCTAGCATAAACTTAGCAACAAAACAGCAACAAACCCAGCAGGAGCAGGAGCTGCAAAACTGAGGAAAAACATGCACAAACCCCAGCTAGTAAGGAGCTACACCAGCTCAGAATAAAACAGCAACAACCCCATTAGCAAGGAGCTACACAAGCTCAAAAACAAAAGAGCAACAACCCCAATAGCAAGGAGCCACACAAGCTCCAAGAACAAAATAGCAGCAAACCCAGCAGACATGGGGTAAACAAGCAACAAACCCCAGCTAATGCTAGCACAAACCCAGCAACAAAACAGCAACAAACCCAGTAGCAGCAGAAGCTGCAAAACTGAGGAAAAACAGGCACAAACCCCAGCTAGCAAGGAGCTACACAAGCTCAAAAACAAAACAGCAACAACCCCATTAGCAAGGAGCTACACAAGCTCTAAACAAAACATCAGCAACCCCAGCAGCAAGGAGCTACACAAGCTCCAAAAAACAGCCACAAATCCAAACTCAAGGAGCCACACGAACCCAAGAACAAAACAGTAACAAACCTGATGGCAAAAAAACCCAAAGCCAAAGAGCTAATAAAGCAAAGGAGCAACATTAAGAGCTCATTGGTCATGCCTATCCATACTTACCTGCACCAAAAGTTAAAAAGTACCAATTCATTAATTACATGACGT